ACTTTTCCTCCTTCACGGCTCCCTCCCACTGGTGCAGGTCCCGTCCCTATTCTTTTGTCTCTGTTTTTTCTTTTTTCTTTTGCACTACCCTACCTACATGGGGAGTTTCTTGCCTTTTGGGAGGTCTGAGGTCTTCTGCCAGCCTTCAGTAGGTGTTCTGTAGGAGTTCCAGGTGTAGATATATTTCTGGTGTATCTGTGGGGAGGAAGGTGATCTCCGCGTCTTACTCCTCCGCCATCTTGAAGGTCTCTCTCTCCTGCTTAATTACTTTTAAGCAAAAGTAATTTGAGGCTCATGAGGAAATTAAGATACAGATATCATAATGTCAGGAGTACGGTAATTGAAGAAGCAGTAGAAATGATAAACATGCATCTATTCAGCATATTTTTCATAAAACTACAATAAATAAAATAGTTATTCTAGTAAAGGCTGACAAAATTATAACTCAGATTTTTACATTCTTAAAATTTTGGCAATCTCTAATTGATCTTTTAGGTATTTGTTATTCCTCAAAACTCATGGTGGAAAATTTTCTAAAATACATTTTTCTCAAAGTGAGAATAACCTACTTTACAAATGATGAAAAAACAGTATTTTATGCTAACGTGAAGAGGGACTTTTTTTTTTTAATGCAATATTGGAGTGATGTGGCTTTAAAAGTTGCCCTTTGGAATATTTTCTTTGTTGCATCAAAACTCATGTTTATGTGACTTCAGTTAGGTTCGCTTAACTGCACACAGAGTTCAAAATACACTTAAATATTGATGGAAGCAACATTCCCACAGCCACCAATCAATTACTTTGATTCTTCTGTTTTAAAATTGGTCTGATAATGCATTTTAGAATAGGTCAATACTGCCTGCTACAAAGAGTAATATGTCTAATTTGTTTCTATTCATCATGATCATGTAGTTAAGAACAATATGCTTAGAATTTCAGGTGGTCACTGGGAAGCATGACATGTGAAACTGACAAAAGAATTTATAAAATTCCTATATGGGCATCATGTTTTTAAAATATGTAACACATCCCTGCATCTTGTTTTTCCCGTGAACATGTGATACTTTGGATATACTGCTCATTTGCATTAACTTCATTGACCTGCACACACACATTTTCTATTTACCAACTCAAAAGAGACCATTTCTCTGTGCCCAGATGCAACAAAATTTCTTGCTGTGCCCTGCAGCATCATTCAGAAAAATTAGGGAATACTTTTCACTCTTGCCTTACCTCACATTTCTTCTGAGGATGAATTCTTCATTAACAGCACCAGCAAATATTTACGAGTACCTCTGTGTGAAAAGTGTTGTGGAGGTGAGACCAGAAGGGCTGTAATAACATCCACTCTCATACTATTTTAAGTTCTGCTTTCACCAGTTAGAGACGCTTATCAGACAGGGGACCGAGAAGGGGAAAGAAACATGGAGGTTCATTCTCCCGCTAGTGTCCTCAGTGTACTTCACCCCTATTAAAAAATGTAAATTCATCATGTAACATACCGAAGAAGAAAACACAGCTGAGACTCAGGAAACCTCCCTGTGTGGCCTTTCTGAAAGTAACAAGCATCCTTGTGCCTGAGTTTATTCTTTATTCCTTCTTCCTTGGCAGAGTTGGAAGGAAGAAACCCAACAGGCTATTTTCACTTGAGTTCTGGTACATGTTGGACTCACGTTGGATGCTCTAACTTTTTGAACACTAGGGCTGTGTTTAGTGCACTATAATCTGTATAAAGTAACTCATCCTCATAACATTAAGTGGGTACTTAGAAAAAGTTTTGTTGTTAGGGGCTGCTTTAGTACTAGGAAAGAACTTTAAACTTCATAGTGATCATTTACCTGAACTCCTATATCACCTATTGTCTGTCATTTTGACTCACCACACATATACTGCCTTGAACTGGTATGCACAATTGCAATTATTATATAATAAATACTGTAAATATGTATTACTTATCCACATATCCAGTTACTCTTTAATTGAAATAAACTCTATAAATCCAGCACTCATATATAAACCAAGCGATCACATATTATTAATACAAAAATTATAACACATAAGTTTTACACCTTTTATTAAAGGTCTTGTTATTGACCTAAGTCTGTTTGGGCATTCACAAGTACGAGGTTCTTTTGCGTAGATATACATAGCTTCTAAAGTTAAAAATAGATGAAGACTAAAATTCTCACATAAAATTTTGCAACTTAATGGTATGTTATAATAAAAGCAAGCAAGCCTGAGAATTAATTCTGTAACACATACACATGTCATCACATATATTTTTCAGTAAACAGGGACAAAAAAAGACAGATCATCTGCTCTGTAAAACACATTCTTATATAACTTATTATGTGAATAAATGTGTGTCTATCAATTCAGGTAGCACATATTGTACCCTTTACGATGGAACGGACAGAATGTGTTATAGGCTCCTGGTGGGTGGGAGTTCACCATGGACGGTGGTAGGGAAGGAAATCATCACAAAAGAAGCTAATCTGGAGCCAGACTGCCAAGAAAAGGAGGTCTTAGATGGATGGAGTGGGCCCAAGGGCATCCTAAGCAGGAAAGAACCAACAAAAAAGTTCCGAGGTGGAAACACCTCTCTACGTAGGCAGACTCACATGTTTATGGAGTTGCACTTTTCCTAATTCCAGCCATCAAAGTTGGAACAACATTTTGAAAGTGAGGAACATTATCATCAAATTATAGGTGTCTTAGCAGCCATACCACCAGAATTAATCTATCCTAATAGGACAACCAGGAATAAAGACTGTGGATTTTCTATTTTTTATAGGCAACTTGACTTTCAGAACATTTTACAACCTATTCTCTAAAACATGAAGGACTGGGAAAACACTACCTGTGATCCCACAGCAGTACAGTGTGCTACCATGTGTTAAAATGCCAAGGAGGCAACAGCCTTTCCCCATGTTCACCTATTCATTCATTCAATCAATCAATCAATCAGCAATCTGGATAAAAGCTAGGACTGCTTTTTTAGGGTGGCTGGAATCCTGGTTTATTTGGACAACGTCTAAAAGGCAGGCTTACCTAGGATCCTCAAACTGACTTTAAAATGCGGTTCCAGTGTATGAAGTAGAAGGTCAGTGAGGTGTCTCCATCTGCATGCATTATTCACTCTCACTTTGCAAGGGCATCCGGAGAACTGGCAAGAGTTGCCAGCCGTTCTTCTGTCTGCAGCATAAAAAAACTGAACTTCCAGGCATTGAGGTATTTTACTAGGATGACTAAATGTCCAAACTTGCCTTAGACAGTCCCAGGTTTGCCCATTGTCAGGTGTGTGATTATTAATAGCACCTAATTCCCTTCTTTAAAATGTCCCACTGACACAATAAATTACACGGTCGCTTTAATACTTACTTCAGCCTTTGGTAGCAGGTCACTAAATCTATTAACAAGTTAGGAAAGAAGGCTTCTGACAGGTTAAAGGCTTCTAACCAAGAAAAACTGGTGGAGGGATTTCTTGAACTAGTTACATGACACTAAAAAACGAATCAGTTTGGTCAACAGAGCAGGACAATTGATAAGTCAGGGAAACATCACCATGGCTGGGGGTCAAGATCACAGATTCAAGCCAGGCAGCCAGGTTCACATCCCAGCTCTGCTCACTTCCTGCCCATGTGAACTTACCCTCACTGGTCTCTGTTTCCTCATCTGTAGAGTGGGGATGATAAGAGTACCTCTCTCATAGGCTTGCAGTGATGATTATATTAATTCATTTTAAGTGCCTTAGAACAGTGCCTGGCACACTATCAGTCATATAATAAGGGTTTGCTGTCACTGCTACATCATTCAGAAAAGTAGGCATGGGAGTGCAGAAATATCTTCGAGATCCTGACTTCATTTCCTTTGGATACATGCCCAGATAATATGATGGTTCTATTTTTATTTTTTTTGAGGACTCCGTACTGCTTTCCGCAATATCTGCACCAATTTTCATTCCCACCAGCAGTGCACAAGAGTTCCCTTTTCTTCACATCCTCACCAATATTTGTCTTGATAACAACCATTCTAACAGATGCCAAGTGATATCTCATTGTGGTTTTTATTTGCATTTCGTTGATGAATCATGATACTCAGCACCTTTTCACATACCTGTTAGCCATTTACGTGCTCTTCTGAGAAATGTCTCTTCAGGTCCTTTCTCCTTTTTTTAAATCAGGTTATTTGGTTTTTTGCTACTGAGTTGTATGTTCATTGCAGCATTATTCACAATAGTCAAACACCTAAATGTCCATCAACAGATGAATAGAAAAAATGTGATCTATATATATATATATATATAATATGTACAGGTATATATGCATATATATGGGAATATTATTCAACCTTAAAAAAGAAGATCCTGTCACTTGCAACAACCTGAAGGACATTATGCTAAGTAAAATAATCCAGACATAGGAAGACAAATACTGCATGATCTTACTTATACGTGGAATGTAAAATAGTCAAACTCATAGAAGCAGAGTTTGGGAGAACTCTGAGGGGAGGGAGAAATTAGGTGATGTTGATCAAGGGGGTACAAAGTTTCAGTTATGCAAAATGAATAAGTTCTGGAGGTCTAATGTTGACCATGGTTAACAACACTGCTGTATACTTAAAATTTTACTAAGAGGACAGATCTTAAGTGTTTTCACCACACAAAAGAAAGGAGAGAGAGAAAGGAAGAAAGAAAGGAAGGAAGGAAAAGAAAGAAGGAAAGAAGAAAGAAAGAAAGGAGAGAGTGGGAGGGAGGGAGGGAGAGAGGAAGGAAGGGAGGAAGGAAGAAGGAAAGAAAGGGGGAAATGGTAACTATGCGAGGTGTAGACGTGTTAATTAGCTTGGTTGTGATTATTTCACAATGTAAAACGTATACCAAAACACCAAGTTGTACACCTTGAATATATACAGATTTTATTTATCAATTATACCTCAATAAAAGCTTAAAAAATGTAGGTACGGGACTTCCCTGGCATCCAGTGGTTAAGACTCCATGCTTCCAATGCAGGGGGCGCGGGTTCGATCCCTGGTCCGAGAATTAAGACCCCACAAGCCGCAAGGCCAAAAAGAAAAAAATGTAGGTAAGCATGGATGAGTTAACAGATCTTGTATAGACACAGCCTTAACTAAGCAATGTCAACCACCCAGTTTAATAGACTATACAGCAGATTTAATAGTCCAGAAAACCAATGGCATGTTGCTATTAGCCTTTAAGATATTTGGTATCTATATTATAATAAAAACAAAATTTTTATTTACAATAACATTTTTTGCTTATGTGAAGTGAAACCTGTCTAATTTTATCTCACTGACAACTATAGAAATGTCACTGTGCTTCACTTCATTACTCTCAAGACATAAAGGGTTCTGGTGTCTATGTTATAGCATCTTAAATTTTTTATCTTCTAATATTAAAATAGGTCTACACTCTCACTGAATATAAACTTCACTTACATCTCTCTAGTTCTGTGTAAAAGGTATCATATACATTTTTGATTTGGATATGCCACTAAACTAGATAAACTTCATGGTATACATGAGAGGCAGTATATATTTAACTTGAAAAAGAATCGCTGAGGTTAATAGGATACATTAACTTCATAACACTTGACTGTTGGCTATTGAATTGGGGATTAAGATATCAGACAGTTCCCAAAAGTAAATAGCTTGACAGAATGATCACAATGGAATTTAGAAATTAAATATAAAAGACTATGTTAATGTGGTATAAGTAGGAACATGAGAAAATATCAAAAGTTGAAGTTTTTGTTGGAAGATGAATTTGAAATGATCTCTTATGCATATGCAACTTTTTAATACATACTCTCTGAGGTACATTTACACTCACATTTAGAAGTCTAATTAGTAATAAAAAGGGAAGAGTTCGTAATGATAGGACCCTGCTCTTAGGGTCCCTATTATAGATTCTGAAAACAAATTCATTAATATCATAATATACATGATGTCATTTTCTGTACCTAAATACTGCAGCCCAAAAGCTTTTTCTTTCTCTCCTTCCTCCCTCCCTCCCTTCCTTCCTTTTATTCTTTCTTAAACATTTAATGTGTAATTTTGAAGCCTGGGGATCTTGTTTCTTTCAAAATCATACTTTTTAACATTTTTCTTCTGCAAAACAAAAGATTTGAAAAAGAAGCAGCCGTAACACTTTGAAATGTGTGCTATTTCTAATGTGTGCTGTTTCTTGGAAAGGCTAACAGGCATTTGGATAGTGAACCATCAAAAACATCACTTCTAAGGCTTTTCTTTCAGGCTATTACTGGTAGAGCCTCTTAACCCTTGAGGCAACTCAACAATTGAGTTAAGGAGATTTTCGTGTATCGGTTTTGCCTGTCACATGGTTGACTTAACTTCAGGATATACTTTGCAGCTGAAGGTTCATTTCCCTCAATTTGTTAAGTGGATAATTATAAAGGTTCACAAAAGAACTGACACCAGGGAAAGAGAGGGGCCTGGCTTCTCTCAGCAGCCCCAAGAGGCCTGTACAAGTGTCATTTATAAAAACAGAGCACAAATTAAACAATGGCCGTCATAAGCTGCCAGGCGCTGGGGTATAATGAAAGGGAAATTCTTATGTAGATGCAAAGCAGGCACTAAACTGTTGGGACTTTTGTTTATTTTTTTACATTGACAGCTAAGTCCTAATATAAATCATTGTATTGAAGGTTCAGCTGCAAAAATAAAATTTTAAACCTGAATTGACCATAACAAGCTAAACAAAAAGATAATTTTGTACCTGCAGCTGAGATTTACACTTTTCTGTTCTTTCTATGATATATTGAAAATATTTTTGGATCCCAATAAAAAAATTGGACTTATTTTCTGAATAAGCATGCATTTTAAATAAGTTATTGGAAATAATGACCAGAAATATAAGCGTGAGACGAAAACACCTGTATTAAGAAACAAACCTTTTCCATCAAATTAACAACCAGCGTTCCTATTTAGAGGCAGTACCATGAATTCTGATAGCTAATGAAACAGAATGGAAATTGCTGCATTGTTTCTAGCTTTCAACAAAACATCCCTACACATAGTGTTCGCATCATTATGTAAGACATTTGCAAATATGTATAATGCTTTTGCCTATGGGAAAACTCTCTTGTTCTCATGTATTCCTGAAAGATGAATGAACAATTCTTTAGGTATGATAAAAAGATTCAGAGGGTTGGATAGAGCAGTAATATTAAAGCCACAGGCTCATAATTTAAATTTTTTTTAAATGTCAACTGCTAACATTGCAGGTCTATGTTTTACTTAAAGAATTTTTTTTCTCTGCAAACTCACCACTTCTTTTCCAATTCCTTTTCGGATTCACCCCTTATTGGCTGGAGGCTGCCTGCTTTGATACTTCTTAAGCAGGGATCTTGTGAAGTTAGAATATTCTTTGGCTTCAGATCTCTGATCTGGATTTTTGCCTGGTCTCTAGATTTTCAGTAGCCTCTGAAACAATTGCTAAATTTGGACATCAGTAGATATCCATGCATCTCATTATCAGCTGAATTTAGTGATCAGACCAGGAGCTGATTTTTAGAGCTATTTGGGTTCCACTGACTGAAACTGTAAAAATGTGAAGAGAGTTTTCATCACGTTTTGACATATAGAAAGCAGATGGAGGGGTAGTAATGGATTTGATAGAGCAGAGGAGATTAGAACATAAATGCTGGCAGAGATGGAACAGCAACACAGTTGAGCCGGTTTGTCCCATGAACCCCTGAGACCTTCCGCACTTAGAGACATCAGGTATCTGACAGTGCAAAGCCAAAAAGACAGTCACTGAAACTCCCAAGAAGATGAGAGTTTTATTTTATGGAACAAACTGAGCAGAAAGTTTCTAGATTCAGGTACAACAGGCAGAAAATTGGTCAGGGTCATGATACGGAGCTGATAATAGTGATTTGATTAAGAGAAAGCAGGTTCATAGTGTGCTCGCCACCAGCTGGAAAGTAGGAAATTTGAAGGCATCTTCCCTGGGGAAACTGAACGAACTTTTAGAGATCTTCTGATGAAAAGGTCACCTTGCTTCCTGATGAGTCCACAGTGAAGTCCTTCAGTGGAAAAGTCCCATCCATACATATGGAGCCTCTGATTTTCTTTTTAGTGCTTCATTCATAAGCATTAACAGCAGCAAGGGATCACCAGGCATTTGAGGAAAGCCACCAATCTGAAAAAGAGTGTAAAAATAATCACACAAACAAAGAATTTCACAGCAGACACACAATGCAGAGTACAGAAGAAAATTTTTAAATAACAATATCCCCATAGAAAGACAAATATTATATCACTTATATGTGGAATCTAAAAAATAATAAACCTATTTACAAGCAGAAATAGGCTCACAGACATAGAAAACAAAATTATGGTTACCAAAGAGGGCTGGTGGGAGGAATAAATTAGGAGTATAGGATTAACAGATACATACCACTAAACATAAAATAAACAGCAACGATTTACATAAATAATAATAATAATCATATCCTTAGAGAGTCAAGAAAAAATATTGTGTTCATAAAACAGGAGCAGAATGCTGTGAAAAAGAAAAATCAGAAACAAGAAAGAGCTATTATAAATTAAGGATAGGATTGTCAAAATGACAATTTAATAGAAAGCTGACAGATAAAGACATTAAAATTTCCCAGAAAGTATATCAAAAAGACAAACAAATGGAAAATGGATGAATAAAAAAGTTGAGAAGATAAAATGTGTTATTAATAAGAAATCTAGAGAGAATAGGAAGAATGGAGCAAAAAAAAAAAAGATCCAAAAAAGTAATACAAGATAAACACTCAGAACTGAGGGCATTTGTCTCCAGGTTGTAAGGATACTGTAAGTATTCAGCCCAATAAATGAAAAAAAAATAAAAGACCAAACCAAGCCACATCGTCATGAATTTTCAGAACACCAAAGATAAACACAAAATCTTTAATACTTCAAGAAAGAAAGAAGGAAAGGAAAGAGAAAGAGACTTAGAAAAATTCAAGAGACAAAGCAACAGATCACATATATAAAGAGCACGGAATCAGAATGGCAACAGAGTTCTCAAAAACAACGTAGGAAACTAGAAGAAGTGGAAAATTTCTCTCAAAATCCTAAGGCAAAATGACTTTAAAACAAAAATTTTATATTATCACTATTCTCAATTGGGTCTGAGAGTAGAATAAATATATATATGGACATACCAGGGCTCCAAAAATTTTACCTACATCACCTATTTTTTAGGAACTTACTGCAGGTAAGTTCAGCTGTACTGTTTTAGTTATTACTGTTTTAATAGTTATTAGTAACAGCCCTTTTATTCTCAAAGATGTCCTAGTTATTTTTAAAGGTAGATATATAATTTCATATATTATGACATTGAAAATTCTTAACCAAATTTCTCCACTTTGGTTCAATGTCAAAAAAAAACATGATAAAATTAGTGAATTTATTTAAATACAATCTGAAAAGTGAATCAGAAAGTATACATGATTATCTTGAAGCTATGAAATAATCTTGCTATGAGGAAACCTCTTATTAGCAGATGCAACTTTTCCTCCAATTTAAACAAAAAGAATACATAAAAATAAGCTTTCAGCACTCATAACGTCATTCAGATGTTTTACTTGTTTTTGCTACTCATATAAGTCAATATAAAATGCGTACCCAAAGATTGCTTTCATGAGAGAAGACATCTATTAGGGTAATCATGAAATTATGAATCTAATAATATGAATTCCAAAGATGTAATTTCAAGTTCTTCAGATTCAGTGTCAGTTGTCTTTGTAGCAATTAAAACATGGAATTCTTTATTTGGAGCCTAAAAAATTAAAATGTCTAAAGCGTATACACTTTTTAAAGATGGTCTAAATGTAAAAATTAGTTCAGAGATTTGATGCACACACACATAAGAGGCATTGTGCTACATGTTTTCCATGCACACAAAGAGATGGTTACATTTGTGGGCTCCAGAAGGTCTAATTGGATTTTCTTAGCTGTGTGACCCTGGAGAAACTTGCAAAACCCCTCCGTGCTTTAGTTTCCTCATCTGTAAAATGTAAAACACCTCACAGTTTGGTGTGCTTTGGTCAGAATATGTTTGCCAGTCTCTGTTTTGTTATATGGAAGTTTCCCAAATATCGTTGTATTACTAAGCCTTTGTTGGAGTTCTCTTAAAGTCAGCAGGTTAGTCTTCTTTCTCCCAAACACTATATAGTATAGCAAGCTATACTGTGTAGTTTAAAATATGAGTGCCTGCCATTCCATCATCCAACAGAAGTGAAGACAGAAGGAAAGATACTGTACCTATGTGATTGTCAGCCACAATTTCCCATCCTTGTCCACTTGAAAGTAGAGCAAGCATGCTGTAAACAATCTGTCAATGACTTCACTAGGCTGCTTGGATAAGCTATGGATTCCAGATCTTTCTCTGTGGATAGAGTTACATACACCGACCAAGAAGCCAAGAAGCTAGAATATACGGGAAAGAGAAATAACTTGCCTAACACATTATGATTATGGTTGGTGCCTGCTGGTTCTGAAACTATGACGAGAGGCTGTGTGGTCCACAGCAAGACTGAGTTATGTAGCCAAATAATAGGTTAATGTTGGCAAGTTCCTAGATGAAATAACTCCCTTTCTAAATAATTAATTCTCAACATCTTAAAAATGTACGGCTTTAAGCATTATTGTGTTAACATGTATTTTAGGATTTGAGGATAAAAACATATGGTTTGTTTTCTTTTTTCCTTTCTTTCTTCTCATATGAAAGCAAGTGGTGATTAAAGAATTGAAGTTTTCTGGTGAATGAAACAGCCAGACCACTTTTCATGACAAAGTTGGTAATTAGAAGGCCAATTTAATGGTGAATCAGGCAGAAATATTCAAACCATGACAAATGACTTTAATAATGCAGCTTGCAATGCTTGAACAGAAATAAATTTCACTTCCTCAAACTCTCGCCTTTTTCTGCCTGCCTGGAAGATAGAACTGTCCAGGAGGTATTTTGTACCCTTTATTCAGTAAAGCTTTTACTAGATTTTAAGTGACCAAATAGCTTGCAAATGCAAAACATCATTCAACTTCCTATGACTTTTTTTTTTTTCCTGAAGGTAGACCGCGTTCAGAATTCTGAGTAAGTCAAGATTTATTTTTCTTCTGTTCTGCTTAGCCCTGCAATAGTGTTTTATTGTTGCCACTCTGACTTGAGGTATTAAAGGGAGCTACATTGGTCTCAAAATTGAAAGCTAATTTTGGTGTTTGTCATAAGTTTGTTAAGACCACATGCATTCCACAGTTTGAAAAATTTCATTATTCGGTCCATGCTGGGGCTTCGTAATTGGATAGTAAGGATGTTCAAAGACTAATTTAGTGAATTGCACAATATTTTAAATGGAATTATGCAGGTTTATGGGTCCTTAGGGGATTCAGCTAGAAGCCTCTAGAGAAAATCTGTTTATCAGTAAATGATATTAGCAGCTTTCACCTAGCTTTTGTCTTCATTAAATTGCTGCTCTCCCAATTGAGGGTCACATCTGAGGCCTGCTTTGATAATTTGTCATTATTGTCTTGTTTATTGGAGCATAAAGTTGATACAGGCCGGGCTGTGCTGTTTATACACGATGTGCAAAGAAGTTTCTATTAACAATTCCACTGGTGCTAAATCAAAGTGGAATTTTTCAGGATTCAAGAGAGGTGATCATTTGTAGCATTCTAATTTCCTCTCAAACTCTCTGAGTACATGCCATGTACCCTTCTCTAATATGTATAACACATAATGGCATTGCTAGAACCAATTCTCTGCAGACTTTTAAAAAAATCCATTTTTATCTTTAAAAATAAGGTTGAAAGTTGAAATTCTTGCCATAGTACTGACCTGTCAGACAAAACCAAATCCATGCCACAGAGTTCCCTTAAAGTATGACATTGACACATAATGACCATTAACTATCTTAAGAGACTTGGGGTTACAGTTGAGATATTAAAATTATTAAGAAACATACTATTTATTGTAGCACAATCGAGCATACTTTTCATTGCACTTACGTGTTCTAAGTCCAGCAATAGGAGGGGAATTCCTTGTTCACGGCTTACTTTGAAAGTATCACTGAGCATGTTTAAAATCAATTGGTTTCTGGCTGTGCTTTACGTGTGGATTGCCATGAGGTGTTTTTTCCCAACGATGACATGGGGTCTAGAACTGGGAAAGAAGGCATGTAGACTCTATTTCCAATCAGGCCTCTAATTCCAAGCATTTTTAATTTGCATGTCTCATGCGTGCTTTTCTGTCTTCTTAGCAGAGTCATTTGATAGACACTGGTCTTCCCTCAGTATATGATCTGGGGTTTGTTCTACTCACTGGTAGCTTCAGACGTATCTCCCTTTTCCACCTCCATCTTCTATTCTTCTACCCTTCGTTTCAGTCGCTCCTGCCCCCAGGGGCAATACTATTTATTTCTCAACGAGAGACTGGGCGTAGTAGGAAGCTCAACAAAAGTTCAGCAGCCGATGCCCACCATACTTTTGTGGTACAACTTGGGAGAAAGACCTCCCAGTCCCTCTGCAACACAAAGGGTGGATTCTCCTTTGGAGCCCGCGTAGGATAGGAGCAGCTCAGCAGAGGTTTTATCGTGCACCTCCAGCTTTCCCACTTACTGAGCCATCCTTGGCTCTACTCTCCCTGGAAGGGAGGCTGAGAAGGACCAGTGTTCATTTGGGGGTCTAACTGCGTCCTACAGAATGTGCAAGGGGTGTTGGGATGTCAGGAAGGCAAAGGCCAGCCCTTCACCTGTAAAAGTTCCACCACCTCGAGGGCTCAGAATGATGGCTTAGGCTCTCCTTATGAAAGTTCTCAGGCCAGGAACCTAGGCAAACCTCATTTTTATATACTATTACCTCACACATCTACAGCTTTTAAAGATTTATGGTTATTATCGCCATCTACTCACCCACATAATCACCAGCCTTTCACTTTAAAATGGTTAAAATTGTTTCATAGATTACAGATCGTTAAATTAGACTATTTCTTTATTTGATTTCTTAGTTTTTAAAAGGAAAAGAACAGCTCTCTCTCTAACACACACACACACACTTTTTTTTTTTTACTTGAAAATTTTAAATGGCTCTCCAGACACCTCTTTCAATAATTCTTACCCTCCAAAGCTAGGCTGCCTTTTAATTTCACTTTAAAATAGCTACATTGGGACCATAATATGATTAGAACTAATGAATATTGTGGAGAGAAGAAAAGAAATTTTATTTAAAATCTTTAAAAAGTATAAATACTTCATGTAAGGACCTATGGTTCATCCTAGCCAGTCAAGGACTCAATTTTGATTCTGAGGATAAATCACTTGAGTGCATCAGGCCACCTTCCTTGTCTGCTTCTTCACTGAATTATAGGAAGCAACTGTATTAAAATTAGTTGCCATCTCTTAATAATAATAATAATAATAGCAAAATTGTCTAAGTGCAAAGGCAGTAGAAACTACTCATATGCTGGATCTAATAAAATCTTGCCTGTTTCCTTTTTAAGGAGCTCTGGACATAGAGAATTAGCAGGATGACATCAAATAGACATTTAATAAATTTGCCAACTTATTACTGAATATTCTAAACTTACCTAAAAAGTTCTTTCTTTCAACAAGAGTTCTTTATTTTTGACTAGATTCTTTTTAAAAAATTGATGTCTCAAGCTTAAACCAGGCATCTGGAATTTGCTTGGTAGTTTCTGAAATCTAAGATGGTTTTGCCAGAATGACTTGGATGTCAGAATCTGTACTGTTTAAGGGCGTTCCCTTTGGAATGAACTAGTGTTCCTGAAACATAGTTCCATCTTTCTTAAGACCTTTGTGAGCCTTAGTAACTTCCCCATCAATCATAACTTCCCCTCTATGGAGGTCTTTCTCTCAAGGCGTGGGCACTGTTCTCAGCCTATAGCCCCCTTGTTCTGTAATGAGAGGCACTTTCTCCATGCTTTCCTCTCACCACCCATATCCTAAGCACCCATAACCTATGGAGTCTGATTTCTCCATAACACACTTTAAGAATGCTTGGTGAGTTATTTTGAATAGAGACAGCAAGAATTGTTGAGTTTTGTAGAGTTTTGAGAGGCAGTAACATGGAAGAGCCCAGAACAAGATGGTAGGTCTAGATGTCGGGGACCTGGAGGCTAATTTTGCTTCTGCAACCTTGAGCAAGTGCCCTCACAACTTGCCTTTATCCCCCTCTGCCCTGGAATGACGAAATGACGAGGTGGTGAAGAGGCTTTGGCTTGCTGTGCATTTGTCACGACAACCCGTGAGCCCCCTGAGAAGTTCAGAGGAAAGGAGAGCTGGTATTTCCCCATCATTCAGACTGGGTGTGCTCAACCCTACAACAGCCCAACGCTCAAAGCTAGGGATTCCGGGCTTCCCTGGTGGCGCATGTGGTTGAGAGTCCGCCTGCCGATGCAGGGGACACGGGTTCGTGCCCCGGTCCGGGAGGATCCCACATGCCGCGGAGCGGCTGGGCCCGTGAGACATGGCCACTGAGCCTGCGCGTCCGGAGCCTGTGCTCCGCAACGGGAGTGGCCACAACAGTGAGAGGCCCGCGTACCGCAAAAAACAAAAACAAAAAAACTAGGGATTCCACTGCAATGGCTGGAAACACACAGTTTTGTAGGCTTACTCTAGCCTAAAGAGAAGACTACAAATAGGCTTGTCAGCAGAAACCAGCTAAGCTGCGTTCATTTTTCTTCTTCTAGCTTTAGTATTCTTATTTTCTGCTTAGTCTTGAGCTTATTTAATTCTTCTATGGAATTTTAAAAGCTGTGACAGTTCTTATATTTGGTGAGAAATGATGAATACACAAAATGCTTCTGGCTTTAAAAGCATTAGATATGTTGAAGTGGCTTTATCTATTGATAGATAGGATCCTGGATTTTGAGCAAAGAAGATCTAAAAGTCCTACTATTCCTTGACCTGTAAAACAGAGAAAATAGTACTTACCCCATTCTCACAAGGCTTGTTGCAACTTAAGGACTTATCCATCGTTGTGTTAAATAGCAAACAAAAAAGTTTGGAGAAGACGTGTTTATATTCAACTAGATAAGCAAAAATAAAACAACACAATAATTTGATTTAGTTATGAAATTCAGAAATATAGACAGCTCTACTTAAATGCAAGTAAACACAGCTTTGAAGCATCACTTGCCCCTTGATGTGATCATGTTTTTAAATGGAACTTTACATAATGTGAGAAAGAAATGTGCATTTGCAGACATTGTTTTATCTATGTTTTCAGTTGTGAATATGTTTCAGCTTGATTTTCAGAAAACTGACCATTGAAAATTTTTCTTTAAGCAAGTACACCTGAGTCCTAGAATACAGGGTCTTTATTCCCTGAAAAAGCAGAAAATGCCTCAATAAATTTGTCTCTTCCTCTTTGAGTCAGCTTGCACTTCAAATTTTTATACTTTTTTCTGGTTGGGGATTTGTTTTTTTGTTAATGTGAAGACATTGGGGACTTTAGTTACAAATCCATCAATGCTGTGTGTTGGGGGCTGGAAGCAGGGACAGGGAGATCAAGGGAAGGTGAAAAACAGAAAATAGGGAAGAGAGAAGATAAATATATAAGATAAAAAATATATATAGCTGATAATTGTTAAAAGAGGTTTAAAAAATAAAATAAATAACAAAATAGGTTCTACTTCTCTATTGAGCATTTTAATTATGTTACTTTCCAAATTATTTGTGTTAACCTAAAAATGATAAGGAACTACAGTTTTTATGCATTTTTCCTACCCCCAGATAAACCATATTAATGAGAATTCCGATTGGGCATGATATATCTGGTCCCAGAGGAAAAGGAAGTCTTGTTAAGCACATGCAGGGAGAAGGGGTCTTTCTGGGGCTACTGATGCTCTCATGCAGGGTCAAGTATCTCAACAGGACGCTTCAGTGGCCACATTTCTTGCCTGGTGAGTTTCCCTTCCGTGCCCACTCACTGTTCCCAGGAGCTACTTTGTTACAAAAAGAATTCCAAGACTTCCATGCTTCCCCCAGTTTCACAGTTGTGGGGCATCTCCTAATCTCATGTCATTCTGTGTACTTGTTTGGGATTTTTTCAAAACTATTCCATGATGGTAGTTCACGCTGAAGTTTTAGTTTTGCATATCGCTGCCATCCCAATTATATTTATATTTGTATAGTAGGTTCACTAGGCGAGGCATTGCAGACCATTTTAAAGGACTGAATGCATTTGAAATTGAACAAAAATAAATGTTTGGCAAAGTATGCCCCTATGGAAGAGTACTCCTACAAAATCCTCTTCTATCAAAAGAAATATCTGGACAAATAATGTGGTAAATACTGCATACTATCTACCCTCCTGGTTAGCCACAACACACATTAGTAAATTGAAGCTCTGAGAAATCCTGTGGAAAAGTACCCATTTCACTGTATTTAACCCAGAGTTTCTCAATCACTTCTGACTCCTTTTTGGAGTAGCACATATTCGCATGCTGTGTAATAGTTTTGGGAGGCATACCCTTTGGGAAAGGCTGGCCAAGGTACTTCAGAAATGAAAGGAACTAACATTTGAGATGGAATAATACAGCAAACAATGGCCAAGATCAAACAGGGGAGACAAGAGATAAGCTCATCCCATTTTCTAACCCCCCCTTAACGCCCCACGTATATTTGGAATTGGCCAACAGAAAGATTCGGTATTACTGCCTAGAAATGCTGAGGCAAAATGAGCAAGCAAAGTTCAACATAAATGCGTTTTTGGTATATAAGCCAAAATACCACTAGAATTTGCCTTGACTGCTTAACCCTTAGATCAAGCAGTAATTTTATTATATCATCAATTCCAATACCCAAATTACAGTAACCCAGATTATCATTCATATTTTTAAAGCCAATGAAATATGTTCCAGAGGTTGTCAGGTTGACTAGTTGACCAAGTCATAATACATGGTCACAGGGCTCCAAGTTGACCTCAGACTTAGGGTTCATACTTCATGCTTTGGTTTCTTCAAAGAATAAAATTATTAACATGCAACCCCCCAAATCAATGAGATGCCGTATCAATTAAAAAAATTCAAGTCCTTCTGGCCAGGGAGTCTCATCTGGCAGCTGTTTTCTAAATGAGAAATCAGAACAGTCACATCTTCCATGCACCAAACCCCCAGCATGTTGGAGAGGCTGCCAGAAAACATATATTTTTAGTCCTGTGTTACAGCTGAAGACCCCAATCACACAAAGACTTTATATTCAGTGAGACTGAATTCTCTTTCTCTTTCCAAGCTACCTTGCTTCGTGAAATTGGGCAATTTATCACACAATGGCCTGCAGCAGATTTAGTATATGCAAGTGATTAGTTTGTCTCTTCCCCAAGCAGCCTTGATGTAGTTGGGGAAGAGTGGCAGCAGCAAGGGAAGGTCACTTATAACACAAATCCTCTGGGGAACTGCTAATGGGCTATTGACCCTTCCCCACTTTAGGTCTATGTGTCATATTTGATTCTGGTTTCTTGAGATGTAATTTCCAAGTGGTGATGGTTCAAAGTCTACACAAGATGGGCTGTTCCATCAAGTTTTAAGCACGGTATTATTCACACCATGAATGGCAGGTGCCAGTTGATTGGATTGGAGATAATTTTACCAATTTCCAGCTAGCCCAAGGCAAAGAAAAAATACACTATCGACAATATTGGTTAAGTTAATAACCAAAAGTACATTATACCTTCACCCTTGCATTTAACACCTTTCCCTCTCTCCCCCTTAGCCTATTTCCACAAGGTCTGGGAAACCAAGTCAACATTTTTGGTATGGTGTGTCACTTAGGTCTATTTTTGCAATGAATTTAATGAGCCCCTTTCCTGCCAACTGATGACTTTTATTGCATTGCCATCAAAAAGTCTGTGGAGGGCTTCCCTGGTGGCGCAGTGGCTGAGAGTCCACCTGCCGATGCAGAGGACACGGGTTCGTGCCCCGGTCCGGGAAGATCCCACACGCCACAGAGCGGCTGGGCCCGTGAGCCGTGGCCGCTGAGCCTGCGCGTCCGGAGCCTGTGCTCCGCAACGGGAGAGGCCACAGCAGTGAGAGGCCCGCGTACCGCAAAAAAAAAAGTCTGTGGAGGATGTAAAACTATTTCAGATAAAATGCTAGGCTCAGTCAACAATCTCTAATGGAAGAGGATCAGTGCAAATAATCAGAAATGTAGAATGTGCTAATGGATCTTGTGTTTTAATTTAAAATGTGACTAATACCCCTAATAGAATTACCTTTATACATTCCAAGAACAGATATAAAAGTCGATAGGTGTTTGAGAAGTATAGCCAAACCAATGCATTTTCCATGTATGTCATTTCCTCTGACAGTGGGGTGAGGCCAGAGAACACTTTGAGAGGTTGAAGGAAGCCAGTTGGGGGTGAAATGCTTTTCTTGGCTCACTTGTACACTGACAATTAGGGAACTGTTATTGGGAGATGGTGGGGTTTTTTTTTTGAGGTAGAATAATAGACATGGGGGAAAGAAAAGAGAGGGAGAAACAGAGGAGGAAGAGGACAAAGCAGATGAAAGGAAGGGCCTGGATGGTCCAACAAACATGCAGCTGCTCCTGGTTCCTCGGACTGGAGGCACATGCGGCAGAGGCATCGAAGAAGCAGATTTTTCTCGTCCTCACCGTGTCCACCCTACAGCCATGGAAGCATGACGTACACACAGGGGGGTGTGGATGTGGAAAAACAGTAAGGAGGCGGAAATCAAGTTTCCTTGAATTTTCAAAACCTCCAGCCATGACAGTGGAGCTGGAAAACAGGTATATAACAAGCTCTCAATTTCCTGTAGCAGTAAACTTACTGTGAAATCATCCATTTAGAAAGAAGGAGGTTTTTACTCTCCAAGACTCACTAAATTACTGAACCAGGCCAATTTATGATCTTCCGTGTGTTGCTGCAAAGAAAATTCTCCCTGCAGGTAAGCTGTCTATCTAGAGCTAGAGATATTAGAAGCAATTTTATGAGCAGGATCATTAATTATGACCTATGAAATTTTAATAGGTAGCTTCTTCGGATCTTTTGTAGGAGCTGAGATCAAAGTGGCTCCAAACCACTGACACAAACTTGGTCATCAGGAAGTCTGGCAAGCTTGCAAGGATTTGAGATCTCTATGTACTCATTTATTTCCGCTGCTGATGTTTTGTTAAAGGCAGCATGTGTAAAAATATATATATACACATATATGTACACACACATGCACATATATTGCAGCTTCTACAGAATTTTATTTATTTAGTCCTGGTGGTTGTACCAGACCTCATTTATTTTATTTATTTGTATTTCTAAGGAGAACTACTTTTCTTTCTTAATTATAATTAAGAGAAGATATGGTGTAGTTGAAAGATAAATGAATGTGAAATAACCTACATTTATTCCAGGTCTGTCATATAAAAGAATATGTCCTTGGGTAACTGGCTGAACTGATCTGGGCTTCAGTGTCTATTCATGTAAGACACTGGTGTCTCATTCGTTCTTATACCTATGAGACACTGGTGTGGCATGAGAGCTATTGGAAAACAGGGCTCCATGTTTATTAACATGTTTGTCTTTCAGATCTAAGATTCTGTGGATACATGCTTCTCTAGATTCCAAGAAAATGGGGATAATAACAGTAGCTGCCCCATAGGCTTGCTGTGAAGACAAAATAAGATACTCCTCATAAAGCACCTCAAAGGGTATCTAGCACACAGTACACATCCCATACTTCTCTTATTATCTTTATTATTTCTGCTACATGGGAGAAAACAAGGCACTCACAAAGAAAAGCTGGTTCAAAATGCTCTAAAATGTGGAATGAGTAAAATTAAAGATCCATCATCTGGTGCATTGGGTGCTCCTAAAGCCATGCAGTGACTCTACTAGAGGCCGCAGGTGTTACCCGTGATGAGAGCTAGCTCCTGTTCTTCCAATATTAATACTCTTTTTTTGCCCTGTGCACATGGAGAATGAAAGCTCCCCAGTTAAAAAGAAAGCAAAAAAACAAAAAGAGTTGCTCCTGAATGCCCCTTTTAGGGTCCTGTTAAAATTGACTGCAGGATCTAAGGACTTAGGGGAAATATCAAAATCATGGAACCGGCCTGGCTAGTTCTCTAGAGACCAAGCTGGTCAAATGAACAGTCAAATGGACCACTCTATTCTATATATGATAGAAGTAATCAGAAATAACATTCCTGGACTTCCCTGGTGGCACAGTGGTTAGGAACCTGCCTGCCAACACAGGACACAGGTTCGAGCCCTGGTCTGGGAAGATCCCACATGCCGTGGAGCAGCTAAGCCCATGTGCCACAACTACTGAGCCCGCGCTCTAGAGCCCGCAATCCACAACTACTGAGCCCGCATGCCACAACTACTGAGCCCGCGTGCCACATCTACTGAAGCCTGTGTGCCTAGAGCCCGTGCTCTGCAACAAAGAGAAGCCATCGCAATGAGAAGCCCTCGCACCGCATCGAAGAGAAGCCCCCGCTTGCCGCAACTAGAGAAAGCCTGGGAGCAGCAATGAAGACCCAACGCAGCCAAAAATAAATGTTTTTAAAAAACAGAAAAGAAATAATATTCCTACTCATGTCATTCCTCAGTCTAGCTTGGACAATGGTACATTTCCTTCCATTTACCTAGAAAAAGTTTCCTATGCCTAAACCATGTTAGAATTACAAATTATTATCAAAATCTTTTAGCTGTCTGTATTGTAAATCAACTATACTCCAATTAAAAAAAAATCCTTTAGTTGTCTGGTTAAAATTATGTTAGGTTTTTTTGTTTGTTTTTTGATGAATAGCTTACTGGTCGAGGAATTGTTTTCTCATTAAGTCTCATGTCTCAGTGGTGTGTCAAATGGTTGACTAGTATATTCCATCAGGCTGGGTTTCCTTGACAGTCTAGCTCAAATCCTAGCTGTATGGGTGCCACCATGTTCAATCCCTGTCTTCTCTAGGCTCTTCCACTGGCATTGCCAACGGCCTCCGACTGTGGTCTAGGGCCACTTGAGTTCCACAGCCACCCTGATGGTCAGCAGTCTCAGCCCACAGTGGCAGGGAAGCCACTAAACCTTGTTTCAATTACTCCTTCCCCTGCCCCCTCTCCTGGGGCCTAGAGCACAGACTGGATTTCTGCCTTGATTTCCCTCCAGGCCTCCAATTGTAGTCAGAACTGAAGCTCCGTTCTCCTCCCTGAGCTACTTGGATGAATCTGCACATCCCAGCCTGGGGCTGAGCCTATGCTGTGAGTGGCCTCTGCACCCACCCAGCAGGCTGTGATAGCACCTGCTCCTGGGAGGCCAAGTGCCTTGTCCAGGTCTTCATGTCTGGACTTACCCAGCTTCAGACCAGGCTCAAGGATGCCACACTGATCGTTTGCAAAGATCAGGCTCTGAAATTATTTCATGTCTCCAAGCCCCTTTCTTACCGTGTCCAGGCTCTTCGTACCGCCAACCAGGGTTACTGATATCTCCACAGGCTCTTGAGTAGATCACTAAGGCGACTCCACCTATGGACCTTCACACCTTCTCCACACCATCTAAATTACCCCCAGCAGTGTTGCTAACGAGCTCTCCTTCCTTTCTGCAATGCTAATATAGATTTTCAAGGACTTACTCCTTCATCCTTTCACCTTCCATGCCTACTTCTATGTATGGGTGTGGTCACTCCCTGGTCATACCAAGGGTCATTCCTTCCCTTGATGATGCTTTTATGACCCTGCCCCATATCCCTCACAGCCTCTGGAAAATGTACTCAAGGGAAAATGGGATGTCAAATAGGTGACAAGTAGTTGCCTTCCACTGATTTTTTGAATGAACAGAATCAATGACTATTCAGGGATGGTATTTCATAGCTGTCTATATTTTCAGGTGAAGGAAGGGTCTTTGTCTTGCTTACCTTGCAGACTATTGAGTGGAGCAAATGAGATTAAGTACAAAAAACCACTTGTCAATTCTCAAGTGACATATGAATGCCATTACTCAATACCATTGAACGACAGCCATTCATTGCTAATTTTAGTTTCTAATATGATATTGGATTGATTTATTCTGTTTATGTAGTAGGTACAAAATTCTCTGCATTTAGAAATGCAGAAAAAGAGAATGTAACTTTGTTCTTCTACAACTCAATCTAATCTCTGCTTTGAGCCCTATTCCATCAGGTGACAGAGGGCTTAATTTTTAGCAAACTTAGGGAAACTGGAGTTTATGGACTTTTCATTATTTCTCCTTCTCCATTCTCCCCAGGGTTCACTTGAGTACAGGGGATCTTATCTCACTGCTAGGCTACTAGGAGAAAAGGTAAGAGAGAGACTCCTGGTTTTAGGCTGATGTCACCCTTGCTTTGGCAGCCACTGCTGATGCCTGAGTTCCCATCAGCCTCCAGCTCACGGCCAGTGCACCGTATCCACCCCCTCGGGCCCCCGGGCCCTCTCTCTGGCACTTCCTACCTCTTGTGGAGTCATGGGAGGCTTTGGGTGCCCTCACCCAGAACTCCAGGGGCTGCTGGAGATTTGAGGAACTGGCCCCATGTGCTGAAAACACCCATGGTTATTTCTAGGACCCTAGTGCTTCACTATACTGGAGCATACTGGAGCACCCAGGCTCAACCTTTGCTTTTCTGACTCACCTCCATCTCCACAGCCCAAGGAAATTTTTAGCAAGACAAAGAGAGGAAAAGAGTCCTACAGAAAGTTCATCCAGCACTCTTCCCAAGTGTTTAGTTTGGCTAATATAAATTTTGGCTCTCATACTCCAATGCCCAAGCTCTTGAGCCTAATATTCCTTCCTCAACCAGTAGCCCTGATAAAACTTACAAAACTCTGTTTGAAGGGTTTATACTTTATTGCTCCTTTTCTCAAACCAAGGAAAGGGTCCTAAGGTAAAAGGAAATGTGTCTGGATTGTGTGGAGCTGACTCAGGGACATGTATTTTTAGAACTCGTCCAACTCTGTATGTAACATATGTGTATTTTCTTATATGTAAATTATACCTCAATCAAGTTGACTGAAAATATTCAGATAAATGCGTACACACACACACACACACGATGGTATTAAAATAGTACCCCTTTACACTTATTTGACCAGTTTTGTCTTCTTTCTTAATAAGCAAATCCTAACTATACTGTAGTATTAAAATATGACTTTTCCAACTTGATTTTTTTTCCTTATGACATTCTCTTGATTCCTGATTTATTTTTCTTTAGAGCTACATCAAAGTTACTCTCCTTATTCTCCATTTTTTCTTTTCTTAATTTTGATTTTATTGGTTTATGCTAGCTACTTTATTTCTGCTCTGCATATGAAATACATGTTGCTGTAGTTTGCTCCACAGACATTTGTGCTGAGCTAGGTAAATGATGGCATACTCTAGAGACTACTCAGATATTCCAAATGTAATAACTAAGATCCTTGGACTGAAGAAGAAAGGGATTAGACAACTATGTCTTTTCTGCTAACTCCACACAGGTATCAGAAATTTAGTTTTCTATGGCAATGGCTGCTTCTCTGTGTTGATGACTTTTTTCCAATAAAAATTTATTAACAACCCACATTTTTGCAAGAGTCATCAACAAAGTACATTAAAAAATAATTTTTGTCCTCAAACGACTTGACTGCTAGGAACATGGAACATAAAAAGGGTCCATGGTTCTGGTTTGTCATAGGAGAAGTGCTGAATATCTATTTGCATTCACAATTGAAATGATGGATTCTGAGGTCCTACTCTATTTTTTAATTCCAGGACTTTAAGTTAGGGAAAAGTGTACCAAAGTATCACAGAAAAAATATTATATTTCCTTTTCACACATAAGTTTTCAAGTTCTCAATGCATCAGTATTTTGTAAATCACAGCATAGATGTTTATTTAAATAACTGAATCATTGCAAGGTCACTACATACCTTCTTTGTTGCTAGTTCTTTTGCAACGACACTGGTCACCAGTGAGTGCCAATCATTCTCCAGGGAGTTTGAGAGGATCCAGGGATCTGGAACTAATTGATAACATCAGAAAGTTGTTAGTAGGCAAATTGCATATGAAAGTGGACTTTTAAAATGATGACACACACATGTAAAACCAATATCATTATCACAAAAATCATTTATTAAACAGCCAATTGAGCATGATTTCAGCTTCTGCCCTCCAAGAAAAACCTTTGTCAATAAACAACTTCTCACTTGATCATCCCTGGCAATCACAGTCACCCGGATATTACAGAGGGCTATCTGAATTTGGTGAAGTACATGTGGACTCCTGGCATTATATGTCATTGACACATGCAATACTGATCATTTTCTTTTGCCACTTCAAGTCTAAATTATTTTTAAGAGTCCAGAGATGAAGAATCAAATGATTTCTATTGACCTTGATCTATCATCTGGAAAAAGTTACTCTCAAAATACAAATATATTTGTTGTTTTATATCATTATGGATAGTGATGAATATTATTGCTACTACCACTATTAACATTATATTGAGGTCTTAAGTCAGTCAGAATTAAATCAATGGCATCACATGATCAGTATTTAGTTTCTTTATTAAATATAATTTTATGAAAATGCATAAGAGCCCAAGTAGCACTGGGACATAGGAGTGGGTGAGTGAGTCATGGGAGTGATAGTCCGTAGAGCTGCAGCCAAATTTCATTTCTCCACATAAAGTAAGCATTTTTCTCTACGATAACCACATTGTGATTTTGAAAACTTCTGAATTATCTTCTACGTAGCTTTAAAATATCATCAATGGGCTTCCCTGGTGGCGCAGTGGTTGAGAGTCTGCCTGCTGATGCAGGGGACACAGGTTCGTGCCCCGGTCCGGGAAGCGGCTGGGCCCGTGAGCCATGGCCGCTGAGCCTGCGCATCCGGAGCCTGTGCTCCACAATGGGAGAGGCCACAACAGTGAGAGGCCCACGTACCGCAAAATAAATAAATAAATAAAAATAAAATATCATCAGGTCAAGGTTGAAACAATAATAGGCTTAATTAGTAAGTTAGCATTCTAACTAATCTAAATATTCCACGTTCCAGAGAACCAAATATTATGATTGATTTTCACTTCATATTTGTAAAGATACAGGTAAAGCAAAAAGAATCATCATATCACAGAACATAATTCTCCCTCTTCTATAATATGTTAGATGTCTATCTCCCTAGAAAAACTTAAATTAAACTTATCTCCTTGGCAGGATGGACCCTAGAGGTTGCTTCCAGTCTTCAATTCTCATTACAGATAGAGAATTACCCAAAAAGATTTTAAAACAACTCAGTTCAATAAATTTCAAATCAGACTATAAACAAAATCAGGACTTCACTAGATTCAAATACATGCAGAATTATTAGATGTGGTTTCTATTGTAGAATCCATTATCCTAGTTGAATATTAAAATGTATATCCTCTACATGGGATTTCATATATTCTAATTTCTCTCATTCTTTGGAGTTTGATAGAAGTCTCCTGGGACTTTTTTTCAGGTAAATATTTTTGAAATAAAAAAAGGAAAAGGACTTCAAACATAACTTTGGCTTGAAACAAAAACTTTCTGGTTTTCGTAGTCAAACAAACTCTGAAAATGTGAGTCCTAAAAGAAAGAAGAAATTAAATTTGGCCAATTGGTTTAACAGTGAGACCTTAACATTACTTTTAAGGCTCACCGAAACCTGGATGACTCTGTGGTATTCCCGAAGAAACGAAAAAGAGAAATTGATTGGGTTATGCGTGGCCAGTGCACTCGCAAGTAGTTCACTGCAAAGTAATGCATATTGATAAAGACCGTTTAAAGTTGCCACACACTAATGGGTCCGATGGGCTCTGAATTAGCTGGCACTTTTCTTGAAAAAGATCTAGGCGTCATTATGAACAGCTCAATTAAGATGTCTGCTCAATGGGCTACATTGGGCCAAAAAGCAAATAGACTGCTTGGATGAATTAATAAAGGGAGAGAGAACATAGAAATATTATGATGGCCTTGCATAAACCTTGATGAGTAGGGGTAGTTCCAATGCCTCCTGCCTAAGTTTAGACGAGTAAATCAGCTTCTCCCATCATGGATCATTTGACTCATTTCCAGGGGAACTCTCTGGGTACCATTTTCCTGAATTTGGGAGGCAGTAGCCAGGTACCTTGTAACATCAGAAACATCATTCTTACCATATCTGTTTGGCTGCTGATGCCTTTGGATGGGTTCTGCTCACCGTTTTTCTTCTGACTCAGCTTAGACAAACTTCCCGCCTGTTTATGGAGTGCCATGAAAGTTGGGAAGAGAGAATGTGATGGCACACAGAAATCTAACACCCCAGGAGCAACATATCTATAAATGTTTCACACATTTATAATCCTGTCTTGGAGATGAGTTCAAAACGTTTTCAGATGCTTTAGAGTTTCCCCCAACTTTGATAAAATGCTTCCCACTGCGAACTGTAATAAACCCATTTCATCCAAGCCATAGCTCTCCTTTCCAATGGTCCTTGCCTCAGAGTAAGGAGAAAAAATAGAGACCTGTCTAAAGTAAGCGTAATCGGGATCTCTCAAGCCATTTCCTGTGTGAGAAAATTCACCTTCCTTTAAAAAAAAAACCTACGAGAACTTAAAAGAAGATACATTCTCATGTCTTTTAGATCCATTCAGGTTTCTTGCACAATTGTCTCCAAAAGTCACACGTCTATGATGGCTGTACTACTTGTGCCTGTGTGTGTGCATGTGTACGGTATGTTTGTTGAGTATGTGTGTATTTTCAGTTTTGTGTTATTAATGGCTCCTTCCAGCAGCTCAGTCAAGAAATGAATTTCCACAGGAAATGTTGAGAACAGATACACTGAAGTTGCTCCCAGTTATCAAATGAGCTGGTAACAAATTCTCCCATCAGGTTGAAACTTTTTTTTTTTTTTTTTGCGGTACGCAGGCCTCTCACCGCTGTGGCCTCTCCCATTGTGGAGCACAGGCTCCGAACGCGCAGGCCCAGTGGCCATGGCTCATGGGCCCAGCCGCTCCGCGGCATGTGGGATCCCCCCAGACCGGGGCACGAACCCGTGTCCCCTGCACCGGCAGGCGGACTCCCAACCACTGCGCCACCAGGGAAGCCCAGGTTGAAACATTTTTAATCAAAGCTGTTTAGAATCTAACATCTCATGTGATCCTAAAACAACCTGAGAAACTTAAAACCTGAAAAAAACAGTCCTAAAAAAGATGATCCAACTGAATCCTTTGAACTGTGGGGCATCCAAATAGACATTCGTACCAGTCTCTCAACTTTCAAACTGATGCTCAGTTCACTAAACCAGTCCTCCTCTAACTGTTACTGGTACAGAAATTGAAAGCAAGTGTATAAAATTTTTATAGCAATTTGGCATTGCTATGGCAACCAAGAACATGACTTTGTATTTTACCAAAGTATCAGTCTGTAATAGGTTGGGGATTAAAAAACAGATAAATAAACTGTCCTCCACCACGGATGCTCTGCATGCTGAGTACTAGACTATGTTAAACCACAGCTGCTGAAAAAGTCATTCAGCATTTCAGTCAGGATCTTCTGCACTTTCAGGTTCAGCCTCTGAAGCTCCAGGTAAGAGAGAAAATAAGCAAATCGACATGAAATCAAAATACATCCACATGGGAAATGCTGAGACTCCCCTTTCCACACTTCGACATATTAATATGTTTCAACTTCCTATTTCCCTCTAGTGGCTCTTGGCTCAGAAAACTGAGGAGGGCCTAAGAGACTGAACACAAGCAAAGGCAGGATCGACTAAGGGCCTGTGCCTTCCTCTTAAACTGGGGGATAAAAACCTTGAATTCTTGTTTGATTTGGGGTTAGTTTTCGGTTTTATTTTTTTACTTGCAAGATGTCCTGTCTTCAAATTAGAGTATCATCAGTAAAGACCTGAGATTTTAAAAACCTATACTGTGGAGATACCTATGTTTACATATTGATTTCTTAAGATTAACAATCATAACCTTCAGGTGCACAAAGAGAGGGCAGGGGACAGAGTACCAAATAAAATTATGAAAACAATTTTTGTTGATAGTTTTTAATTCTCTGATTTTGAAGGAGGGATTTGCTGCTGGTTATTTCTATCAGATGACAAAGAGTTAATATCCACTTTTTGGAGAAATGTCTACCAAAACACGAATGCAGAGTTGGGTCTAAGTGTGGTTCTCCAGAGCCTATTGATAAAAGAAATGCAGAACAGCATTGATCTCACTGCTGCCAAAGTGCCCAGCCTTCGATCTATGACCATATTGACCCCATTCCCAGAAAAAAATGTAACAAAATTTACACAACGGCAGCATCAAATGGCTTCACTCATGCCGTCTGTGATGATCAAAGAGAAGTTGATGTTCAAGTTGTGTCAATACTTTTGGTGAAAACACTACAGTTCCTGTCAAAACAGTGCTGGGAGAGAATAGTAAGATACATTTGATAAACAACTTTTTTTCTCTCTCAAGTGACAATGTCATACATATCCCCCCAACACAGTTATAGTAGAAAGATTTTAAGAGTTCCTGGGGGTTGGGGGCAGATATAATGTTGAAACCAATTATAATTCTTAAATTAAAATTATATATTTCAATGTATAACTGAATTGCTTTGCTGTAAACCTGAAACTAGCACAATGTTGTAAATCAACTATACTCCAATAAAATTAAAATTTAAAAAAAGGAACGATCAAAAAAAAAAAAGGAACGATCTATCTTAGATCCAAACCCAATCCTTGTTCATCTGTCCATGTTGTTATAATCAGTATGCACTTCCTCATTATACAAAAGAAACTGCCTTTTTTCCTTTAAACAAAGTTCAGCAAAGTAAAAAAAAAAAAAGGCTATGTATTTCACATGTTTATATTTAGTCACAGAAGGATGTTTATAATACATTGTTAATATGAGACATGTTAAAAAATTGTACCCATAATGTGATTTGATTTTGCTACTGTATAGGCACTGGGGAAAAATATCT